AACACAAAATTTTCTCTCACTTCATTACACCAAATTGTAAAAGGATCACTGTGATTGGCATTTACCGAATGAACTGCATATATTTCTGATTTCCTTAGTGTAAAACGAATTTTACAAAGTGGCAAGCGCACAAAAAGAATTTGACGAACTTACAGACAGCAATGGGAATAGGAACCTTGGGTCGAAGGTATGTTGTTAAACAGTCTCCAAAAACTATAAAAGATAAGAAACCGCTATACGTAAATAACCAAATGATCTCATATATATGTACATATATACATCTGTGAAAATTTGTAATATAAAAGTATTCAAACTGTAATTAAAACGAACTAACAGAAATGAGAATACATATATTTTTATTTCTTACTTACGGGGATTTAAATGGGGATTTAGAAGAAAAATGGGGATTTTTTGGGGATAACTGCGGCTCGATATGGGGATGTACTATACAAAAATTCTGGCAACACTGTTTGTGAGGGTGAAGAGGAACGAAAGGGAGGTAAAACAAACGCTCAAAAATTGCACACCACGTCGTTCATTTGATTGACTTCGCCAACCTACCTATTTCAGGGGGTCTACTCTGTATTGCGATTCGAAAAGCACTTCATTCAGATTTGAATACTTGACACTATGAATTTGTATTAAGGTCTGATTATGGTGACTTGACTTAACTTAACGTAACTTAGATCTTAGAAAACCAAAATGAAACATACTTCGACGTGGCATTAAGTTACGTTAAGTTTCGACTGTCCAAATATAAGCAACATCTATTAAAGAGAATTTTTAAGTGGCAGCCTCTGAGTTACGTTAAGTTGCCATAATCAGAGCTTTAGTCCGTGTCGCCTTTCGAATCCCCTTGAGTTTCGAATCGCAATATAGAGTAGATCGCCGAGATGTGTTTTCCCCGTGTTGGAATGAAAATTACAAAATAAGACAGAATTGTTTTCACAGCCAATCAAAAAAAAAAAAAAAATGATGGTAAAATAACCTGAATTCAATTTAACCGAGTCTTTTGTTAATCTAAAATATTTTTTACGAAAAACGAAACACGGCTTGAGAAATTTTATAAATTTTACACATCTGCACGGAACAAATGACAGTTTGTTTAGCACTTCAGTTAGAACACATGTAGGTTAACCAAAAATGTCAATAACAACAAATCTCAAGAGGCAGTTCTGTGTTTCTGTGCTGAAAATTCTGTATTAAATCCATTAAATTAAAGAATGTTGCAAATTTTCAACCAATGGTTGTTTCAAGTAGAGGGTTAAATTTCATGATACTAATTTGTTTTTTACCTCCAATTAAATGTAACAGTATAATGTTGAAGGTTATGGATGAAATAGGTAGGTAAATGACGCTTGTAGTTTTAATGTAGGTAGATTATTAGATAATTTATAAACAGAAAAAACCCGACGCCAAAAATGTTTTCCTTTTTTAACAAGCGTGGAATACTGTCCCATATTTATGTCAAAAAGTTAATTGATTGGACCATACTGAAAATATTTGGTATTAACAATTAGAAATCAAGGAGTTTTTCAATATTTGAAAAATGTTTGGATCACAGAGCCTGTAAATTTTAATTTCATACTAATAAATAATATTCAAACACCTTTCATATGGCACCCATCTCTTAATATTTCATTTAATTTTAAAAATTTTATCTTAACTTTTTAGATTGGTGATAATCAGGGAACGGATTTTATATAAATCTACTTTTTTTATGCTAAAGAGATGGAGTATATTCGATTAAGAATGCCCACGATTTAGCTTTCCCTAATTCCATATTTACACATTTAAGTTCATTCAAGGCTTTTCTTCGCGAAAATCGTATGAAAATGCTGCCAGCAAAATTCAAAATGCATATTGTGGTTCAATGTTACTACAAATTTTTTAAATATTTTCAAAGACTAATGGCCTTATTCATAAAAAATAAAGTAGCTTTAAAAAAGGTTTATAAACTGAAAAATGTATGAAAACGTCAATTTATAGGGCTCTTTAAACTTACTTTATTTTTTATGAATAAGGCCATAAAAGTAGAAATTTTTCAATGCTATTGGGTGTGGAGCTTTTTGGCCGGTTATATTGAATAAAACAAGTGTTTACTTCTTCTCCTACGCGTTTCGACGCATATTCGCGTCTTCTTCAGGGAGTCTATATATTTATAAATACGAAAAACATAATAATAACGAATAGCTATTATAAGGAGCAAATAAGACAATACAAAAACATTTTTCATAAAGAAACTAGTTCATAGTGTTTCTCCTTTTACTTGTAAAATAAACATTTAGGTATAAAATAAACGTATTTTTTGATTATTTTTCTGTTTTTGTCTTTTTTATTGCCTCCTTTTGCCTTTTTTGGGATTTCTAGTGCTTTTTCCTGCCTACTTCGCTATTTGATTTTGCCTTTTTTATAGGTTTTTAGGTCCTAAAAATCCGTCGCCTGGCGATAATGCAAATTAAGATTTTGAAGATTTCTTAAATACCTTTCGTTTGATATCAAAACTATAATATTTAATATATCTCATCAATATAATTGAATTAAATTTTTTTCAAATAAGTGGCAACCCTCTTGAAAAATATTTTCTAAACCAAGCTTTCTTAAACATTTAATTTAACTTATCAATTTAATTGAATTAAATTTTTGAAACAGATGTCAACACTCTTTAAACAAATTTTTGAAATTAATCTTAAGCCGCTTTAGTTTGATACTTGTATTGTAATATGTTATTTATCTTATCAATTTAATCTAATTAAAATTTTGAGACACGTGGCAACCTTCTTGAAAAGTTTTTTCCATGAAGCTTCCTTAAACATATCTAAATTGTAACCTG